TGTCTCTGCCTCTCTCTGTGTGTCTCTCATGAATAAATAAATAAAAATCTTAAAAAAAAACTTAATTCTATAGGAGGAGCAACATTATCTTTTGGCGCATCTACAGGAAAGGAATCAGAATCTCTTGTTCTACCCATTAGGACTGAGATACAATTTCTTCTTCGGGCCTGAGTTCCACTATTTCCTGTAGCTGTCAGATGAGCTAAGGCAGAGTGCTATGGGAGAGTAAGCTGAAGATGGAAAGTACATGGACTCTGGAGTCACGCAGACTGGGCTCAACTTATTAGACACATGACCTTGGCTTGACTTTGGAAGTTTATTGACTTAAGTTTTGTTTTCTCTTCTAAAGGATTCATAGGATTTTATAAAATCTTTGCTACCCATAAAATAGCAATAATAACAGTACCTATTTTGAAGAATCGTTCTAAGGATTGAATGAGAATTTGCCAAGTGTGAGCACCCTGATAGGTAAAGAATTCTCAATAAAAAGTTTGTTTTTATAACAGAGTTTGATTCCACAAATCACTATTCCTAATGCTTTTTATTCACAAATTACTTTTTGTTGCTAACAGCCTAATGGCCCCAGTGTGAAGTCATTCCATTGTTTTTGTTTCCGTTGGTTTGTAAATGGTTGGTTTCCTTAAAAACAATATTTCTATCTTAATTTTTATAGTATTTGATACTTTTTCATAGACAATTTATTTCAATGACATGAGAACACGGACTTTGATAGAAAGGCTATATATTTTCCCAGTTTCTATATAATATATTTTTCTGTAACAACAAGGGTGGTTAGTTAGTAAGGCTGAAAAGGAGATCCATTTTGGTTAGCTCTGTAGTTAGGAACTGTGTTTAAAAAGGTGGCCACAGGATTATACTGGACACAAAAAGTAGAATTATTTTTACAAAGTAAAAATATTAGATTAATCTTTGCCAGGTGTTTAATAATCATTATACATGTTTTGATATGGAAAGAAGTCCAATGTATATTATTTAGTGAAAACAGGACAATGTGTAAAATATGCTTCAATGTGTGTTTAAAAAATATAGACAGAAAATTAGATAGTAATATAGATACTTAAATAAGTATGTTTGTATAGCCATAGAAAATTTCTCGAAGGATTTATAAGAGACTGCCAATAATGATTGTCATGTAGAGACTAACTGAAGATCTTATGAGATAAGAGGCATCTCTATATTTTTTAGTACTTGTTAAGTATTTTATCAGTGTATATTTTACTTTTTATTTTATTTATTTATTTTTTTAAGATTTTATTTATTTATTCATGAGAGAGACAGAATGAGAGAGAGAGAGAGAGAGAGAGAGAGAGGCAGAGACACAGGCAGAGGGAGAAACAGGCTCCATGCAGGGAGCCTGATGTGGGACTTAATCCGAGGTCTCCAGGATCAGGCCCTGTACTGAAGGCGGCGCTAAACCACTGAGCCATCTGGGCTGCCCATATTTTACTTTTTAAATAAAAATCAGCTAATACAAAAATTTCCATCATCATTATCAGCAATCATTTATTGAGTTTCCATCCATTATAGTCAACGTACTAGACTGTATATACATATAAATTATAGTATGCACAAACATCCTACAATATCAGTTGGAGTTATGTAGCTTGTATAATATTGCAGAGAAAGCAAAAGACGGAGTCATTTTTTTCCTGCTTTTAACTAGAGTTTTTGGAAATCCATAATTCATAGCCACCCATCTAGGCATTTAGCTCTTTACTACATAGAAAATGAAAAGATTTATTTAACTATGATCTCAAATCATTGGGATTACAAATTTTGTCAATATGTACCATTCCTAGAGCTTCAGTTAAGGTAGTCTTGAAATAATGTCTTTTAAACCTACTTTTCATTTCTACTACTAGGTAAACGTTGTCATGTAATTTTTTTTTCTGACTTGGAAGTAATAACCAGGATTTGCACAAATCCAACTGGTTTCTGTCTAAATATGTCCTGTCATTTAGTATGAATGTATCATTACTATATGGCTTTTTAAAGCATTAGAATCATGGGTACAAAAAAAGTCACCAAATTTGTACTATGTCTATTGCTTCCCACTTTTAAATTGTTTAAGTAAACATTATAACTTAGGCATTATAATTTTTTTCACATTATAATTTTTTGCATACAAAATCTGTGATGTGTCTGAGCATTATTATACAATGTTTGCTCTATTGATGATTTCTAGCTGCAGTTTGAGGGACCACCATAAACATGTCAAGGACCACAAGGAGGTAGCAGCATTAGCAGCTCCATTCCACAGCTCCATTCCACTCTAGATCTTCATCTTTTATGGGGAAGTAAGCAGGGGGAAATAGGATCAAAATCACTAACAAGGAAGAAAGAGGTGAATTGAAGAAGGCCTGGATTGTTGATGTCTGGTATCAAAGGATAGTACAGAAGTAGAACATATAGAGAGGTGAACTGGGCCCTAGAGTTTTAGAAACACTAGAATGTAGATTCCATGGGTGTATTTGAATTCTGCTCTCAATTTGTTGATACTTCTGTATGATTTAATCAAGATGAATGTTGATGAGTGCGGGCTAAATTCATAAAAAGAGTGACTTATTACTAAACTCATTCATTCAGAATGATTAATCAGGGCACTGGGCCTAAACCTAATTTTTTGAAAGAATTTTACTTGTTTGTTTTAAAGATAGAGAGCACAAACAGGAGGGGCAGAGGGAATCTCAAGCAGATTTCACACTGAGTGCAGAGCCCATCTTACCATTCTGAGATCAGGACCTGAGCCAAAACCTAGTCAGATGCTTAACAGACTGTGCCACCCACGCACTCTAGGACCAAAGCTAATTTTTAAACTATTTAATTTGCTATTCCTTTGCAGATGAGAAGAAAGAGCTTTGAGTCAAAGTTAATTCTTTGTCTCATTTTATCTTTTCAAAAAGAATACGATGTCACAAACAGCTGTGCAATCTGTCAAATGCCATGTATTGCGTTTCTATCATGGTCATTCAGATGGCTTTTGAACAAGTGACCATTGTTCCCTGAGAATTTTTTTTCCCCTAATTTAAAGATTTACATAAACTGTGGCTTTAGGAATCGTAAATAAGCTATGTTTCTCTCAACATTAGTCGAAAGATCCATGTGAGTTTGCTCCATTCCCTTTTTAATGGAATTAGAGTTTTACTTTGCTTTGTTGTAAATTGGGGGAGGAATGTGAGTGGGAATATTTAAATTTTGATGGTGACTTTACAAAGGATGAAGCTTTAAAAATCATCATGTGTAATGAGTTTGATAATGGTGGGAGAGAATTTTAGGTTTTTTAAAGATAACTTTGGCTCATTTTACTTCTTCAGCATAAATTGAAAGCTCTGTATAATGTCCTAAATTTCTTTTTCTGCTCTTCCCATATCTTGAAAACTCCCGTGCTCCCTTCTCACAACCAACTTTTCCCTCTTTTCCTTCTCCCCTTTCTCTCTTCTCTCCTCTTTCCTACAGAAAGCCAAGTGACACCTCAGTCCGATTTCAGGAACTTCAAATCAACCCTTTTCTCAAAATTCTTAATGGGGGCTGCTATTTTTCTTCTGACATTGTCACTGCTAACTGCCTTTGATGAAAACACTAAATATCCCAGATAAAGCCTAAATCTTATATGTGTAAAGAAACCAGTATTCAGCCGAATGTTGCCAATATGGTATATGGAACAAGTAAGACTTGTTGCGAGAAAGGTTAAGGTAGAGTTCCCAACATGGGGTTTCCTCAAGAAGTCCCTCAGTCTCTGGTGGTGGGATGCAGAGTTAGGGGCCCTGTGTAGTTTTAGAGATGAGTTTCCTTGTGGAAAGAAGAATGAAAAGAAACTAAAAGGGCATTTTCACTTTTATTAGTGTCTTTCGTGAAGCAATATTCCCAGACTCCCGAGGGTGTGTAATTGATTAATTTTAAAAAATTGTTGAATGAATGAATACGAAAGGAATTGTTTCAGTCCATTTTTTATTTTACCTCAACACTTGAGCAAAAGTAAACTCCATTTGGCTATGTGACAGCTAATTACTCTTTTTAGCAAGTAATTATATCCATAAAGAATGATATTCAGGGGATCCCTGGGTGGCTCAGCAGTTTAGCTCCTGCCTTCGGCCTAGGGCATGATCCTGGAGCCTTGGGATCGAATCCCACATCGGGCTTCCTCATGGAGCCTGCTTCTCCCTCTGCCTATGTCTCTGCCTCTCTCTCTCTCTCTCTCTGTCTCTCATGATAAATAAATAAAATCTTAAAAAAAAATGATATTCATTCCAAACTGTGCTCTAGGAAGATGAAGTGCTTCAAACTATTTTAGAGCAAGGTAGAGAAGAAGAAATCTACCAAGTTTATAACTGATTTGCTACAAGATTAGAAAAAGTGCTGCCTCATGCTTCTAGCAGATTTGGGAACCCTGGCTATATTCCTTAAATAATGAAAAGTTTAGCCACGTCTGTTGCTTCTGTACTTAAATTTAATTTAGTTACTTTTACATGCTTAAGTGCATTCAGGAGCCTCAGGCAAAGTTTTGAAGAGGAAGGGATAAAACGCTGAATCTTACAAATCTTCGCTCTCTAAAGAATATAAAATACCTATGTGCTCTAAAGGCTGGCACCACAGTATTAACTACTGCAAGTGCCAGTGATTCCCCCCTCCCTTTTTTAAACTGTTGTGGAGGCATTGATACTACCGTGAAACCAGCTTAGTATTTAGCTGGACGTGTTTAACCAAGTGTGCAAACGAGTGGATGAAAACATAAACAGGATACGACACATTGCCTAACTTTCAGAGCTAATTCTTGAGTTCTCTGTGCTTAGTCAGTGAGTATTTGTGAGACACCTCTCTGCATTTTCTGGTTATTGGAAACTAGAGCCTGTGGTGGAAGGAAGAAGGGTGGTTTGGAATAGACCCCTCCACCAGACACTGTGACATTCATTGCACTATTACAGAGCAGGAGATCACCTGAAGGAGTAAGGGAGGATACTTGCCTGTGCCCTGAAGCTTACCTTTGCAAGTTGCTCGTGAATCTCAAGCAGGCTGGGTCGGTTGACCTTGGGCCCGCTGATGCTACCCGTGTTGCGATAGTACTCAATCTTGGGAACAGCATCCACAGTGTTGTGGCCAAAGGTTTGTAGGTAGTATGTGTTTGTGTGAGAATCGTAAGCATGAAAACTGGCATCTGTCTTAGCAGTTTCTCCATTCTGAAGGAAATTGTCATAGCATTCCTGATTCCCAGGCCTAAAGCTGATTCTGAATCTGTTCTGGGTTTCATCCCCAAAAGAAGTTTCCTCATAATGTGGAGGGTCGGTGTTGTTATCCACAGCCGCGCAGCTCTCATGGCTCTCATTTATGACATTAACTTGAAAGCGATTGCTATTACCGGGCACTGAATCCAGAAACACATTGGAAGAGTTGTTCAGAGACATCTTCCAAAGTGGATTTCTTTCTTTCTTTCTTTCTTTCTTTCTTTCTTTCTTTCTTTCTTTCTTTCTTTCTTTTTTTTGGACTAGTCTATTCTTTTTTTAATCTTTGTATTTCCTCCTCAAAATAAACACTAATGTGTTTATATTAGGGAGTTCCTGGCTTTTATTCTAGAAGGACTCAATAAATAGATTCTTGATGCATTGTCCCCTATATAATCTTCAGAATGTTCTTCGAAGCTGCCATTGAAAAAGAAAATTAAACTTGTTTCAAGAAATAGAAATACATTTAAGTAGGGATAAGGGTATGAGGGAACAGTTTTATGTCGAAGACATACAATTTTAAATTCATTTCATTAAAAATTACCTGTCCAGGAACTTTAGTCACCTGAGCAATTAAATCCAATAATAAATAACTAGGGACCTGCTTAAGCAAACAATTTTCAATGCAGTCATGAAACTGTTATCTTTGTTTATAGGACTTGCTTAGACTCATTGCAGTTGGATTTAATATGATTTTAGAAAAGAATAACTCTACCAACTGAGTATAGTAAGAGCCGATAAGAATATTCTCAGTCTGAAATAGAGTTCCTTGATAGTACTGAATGTTGAAACTGTATTTTATCATTGATATGAACACATATTATGTGATAATGATGATTATACTCTATGATGAATATAAAATTTTAAAAAATATTTTTAAAACTTCTAAAAATTACAGGTTATTTGTTTATAAAAATACATCCTGTGAAGAAGATAGCTTTGTAAATTCTTGAATCTTTTACTAGCGTTTCATTTGCTCAAACACTTGAATGTTTTAGAAATGCTATCAAGGAATCTTTAAAAAAAATACGAGTATTCAGTGTAAGAAAATAAATCTCAATCCTTGATAAAGTTTTATGCTCTATTTAGGTAAGATAACCATGCCCTATGGATTCCCTTTAATGAAATAGTCTCAAATTCATTGAGAAGCTTATTTTTGACTATGAGATAAATAAACCACATAATCACTTTACAATCCATGATATGAGCCCATATTAGAACATTCTTTCATGAGAGTAATATGTCTTTATTGATACTTTAAATTTTGGCTTTTTAGAAAAACAGACAAATACAAACAAAAACGCACCTCCCTCTTGAAGTTATTAGGCTATTTCTTTGAACTAAAAAAAAAATCTTAACATCAACTTGCAAATAAACTTTTATGGGGAAAATTATAAGTGAAGCTGTCATCTCCTTAGTTTTTGTAGAACATCTCACTTCTCTTCATAGTCCTTGACATCCTTTGCCTTTATTTCACTACTCAGAATCTACTTTATGACATAATATTAAGTGTGATTTTTATCCCACCCAGAGAGGTTTTTAACTTACCACCAGAAGAAGGAACCTTCTTCTCAGAAGAACTTTTACCTGTTTCAACATCACCCAGGCATATATGGGGCACTTAGCTTTCAGCCCAGAACCATAGGCTTCTTCTTATTGGTTAGAATCTTCATTGAAAGAGGTGATTGAGCAGTGATTGGTGTGGAATAATACTGTGGGCCCTCCCCAGTCATTAGCCCTGAGTACCACCTCAGCTAGTAACCAGTAGTAAACCATTAATCCATTTAGACAGGAAGTCATATAAAATTTCTTTAATTTGTAAGGGGAGTTGGATTGTTCAGCATTAATCACCCAACAAAATATGAGCAGTGCTTCAGTTGTTTGGTGCTAAATAAATTGAATCCCACTGTCTTCACATGATTCCTGGTGACCTCCTATTGCTTAGCACATACAGCAAAATCTAGGCCTCCAGAGATAATTTCTATACTTTGTAACTAGAAAGTGGTATTTGAGATCATTTTATCTTGCTTGTAGTAGATATTAGATTAATTCTTCTCTGCATAGGAAGTGAGCAGATTGAATATAAAATCAGTGATTTATTGAAAATATTTCTACCTAATGGGAAAACTATTTCAAGCAAGAATGAAACTGTGACTAAGTTTCCCAGTGGTCTTTTTGTCTCTACCCGGCAAAACATGTATATCAAACCTGGTTTTTTGGGTTTATTGAGAGAAAGATTTTGCTCAAATCTGTGAGGTGGTGATTACTTAGACAGCACAAACAATTCCGCTGTGCAGGTTCTGTCATTGGTTTTCAACTGAGGTGATTGAATGGATCCTCCTTGTCTTTTACATAAGAAGCTATCCAAGTGATTTCCAGTGCCTGAGCAGCACACTTGGAGCTTGACACAGTGGTTAGGAGCAAGACTCTGAAGTGAGTCAGTATACTCAATTCACAGCCCAGCTGTGCCACTTCTGTGTAAGCTCTGGCAAATTAATCAATCTCTCTCTGCCTTAACTTTCTCATCAACCAATAATGGTGGGTAATAATGTTACCGACTTTGCTGTACAGTTATTGAGTGGATTAAATGAGTGAATTTGTGTGTTGGATTTAGATCAGTACTGGTTTGTACTTCACACTTTTATTATTTTGGAAATATTTACAATTGACTGAAGACTTTGAGGGTGTCTGGGTGGCTCAGTGTTTGAGTTTCTGCCTTTGGCTCAGATTGTGATCCCTGGGTTCTGGGATCGAATCCCGTATCAGCTCCCCATGGGGAGCCTGCTTCTGCCTCTGCCTATGTCTCTGCCTCCCTCTGTGTGTCTCTCATGAATAAATAAATAAAAATCTTAAAAAAAAAAAAACCTTTGACTTAGTCAAAGATTCCAGGGTGAATCATTAGAGATTGGGATAGGTACTATTCTAATAAAGTAGGAGGAAAGGTAGGTGGGTGAAAAGATGCTGGATTGTAGAAAAGGATTTGGAGACACCTAAGTAAAATGCCCTAGACTCTACTAGATAAATGTCATACTAATCAACTGGGCTAATGTCATGAGGCTGTTTCAGAAATTGAGACAGAATTACAACTATGTACCACTAACTCAGTCTGTTCTTAAATACAAGCCGTTTATCCATTCAACAAAGGGTTCTGACTCCCCGCATAGAAGGCATAGGAATTATGCCTTTCAGATTCAAATTCATTTCAGAATCATCTGGCTGTTGCTATTTAGAACAGCTAAGATGGGGCTAGGACTCAAAACAAACCCTATTGATTGGCCCTGGATGGAAGCTGTGAACTCACTGGCAGTTATTTCTACTATCTCTAGTCCCCTTTTCCTTCAACCATTTCCTCAATGCCTCTTTCAGGAGCCCACCTATTTGTTCCTTGAACTTTTTCCTCTGCCAAGGACTGTGAATGCATCCAAAGGTGGTCAATTTCCTTTATCCTTGCTGCTTGCCTGCCTTACTACTGTGTCCTGTGAATTAGTTTCAGTCTTGGTCTTACATCAACCAGACATTTTCATTCTAAGCCTTTTCTCTCTAACTGTGAAATGAAAGTCTTTGTTCTCTATTAAGGGGATTCAGACATTCTAGAGCAGATGGGAGATGGTTTGGGGGATATGGATGAAATTACACCATCCATAAAGCCAACCTTGAAAGGTAAACCCAATTTAGGCTTTTCAGGTATGTGGGTAAGGTAACAGGAGGAAAACTTCTGGAGGTATGCTCCTCTAATTTTCCTCTTGTCTTTCCTGCAGGGCTCTGGGGAAAGGGTAGCTGGAGAATGATTTAACTATGACATTGGACATTCCTAAAAGAATTAGCATTTCATGAAGTTTCCATGATGTATCCATACTATAACCATTCCTCATATTTTTTGTATTATTTCTGGTTCTGAAAATATAGACACTGACCACTCTTTCCCATCTGCTGCCCCCCCAAAATCTAAGGTGAACATTATATCATGAATAAATTCCATGGATGAGGACAATTTTGGTTAAAAGAATTTCCATTTAGTAGGATTGAAAATAATACTATGGTCGAATTGATGATATCTGGAAAGCTTGTGAGTGGTGAACTTTCAGAAACAATGCTCATACTTCATGAAGTTATCTTATGTTTTGGGTCTTAGAGTCTTTCTTCTTTGAAGGGTAGAGCTGGTCTTGTTATGTTCTAGTGACCAAAATGGACAGTCTTGTTCAATGTCTTCCCTGGGGAAAATGGTGCATCTTGTACTTGGGCATATATCTTAACAAGTACTTTAGAAACCTGGGTCACGAAGGAGATACCTAGCATCCTGGGCACGTACAACTCCCAGTATGTCTGGCTGACTTGGTTCAATGAAATGTTCTTGGACCAAACTACTGACTGGCTATAAGGTGTCCTAGGCTGACACTCCTCTACCTACTGGGGTTCAAAGAGCTCCTTGAGGTGTGAGTTTGGTCCAGAAGATTAACAACCAACACAGATGTGTTCTAAGTCTATTAGGAGTTGGAAAGTATCAGGGATGAGACAGCTTGTTTTGGAGTGCCATAGACTTGAGCAGTAACTATCTCTGTAAGATATATAAAAATGTTGAGGGTAGTGTCTTGGAGTATAGCATGATGTTTACAAACAATGACTTTGACATTAGACTGCCCACATTCAATTCCTAACACAATCACTCTCTAGCTTGATGACCTGGGGAAGCTCTCTCAACTTCAGCTCCTCATCTGGGACATTAAGGTAATAAATAAAATGGAAATAGTACTTTTGAACTCAAAGGATTCATAAGTATGTCAAGTCACATAATAAATGGAAAGCATCCAATTTAGTGCTAACTCTGAGTAAGTAGCAGTCATTTGTTTTTTTGGTATGTTTGGCAGTTTTGTGTTCTGGTGACACAAATATTTTTGTATTGATTTATCTCCTACTATATTCCTCCATTTGGTAGTCATAAAGGGTCAGAAATTGTAGTTGGAAAGAATTTTAGAATAAGATAATTTTGTATTTTCATTTATCAAATGAAGAGAATTAAGATAGAAAAGAGAATATCTTACACCAGGCTAATGTTTTTTGAGGTTTGAGAATCTCTATTACTATTGCCAACAAGGGGAATAAATAATAATTTCAAGGTATCTTTTGACAATGTTTTCTGGTTTTCAAATTGCTTTCCCATTCATTATGCATCATTTGGTCCTCTCAACATTCCTGCAAAATATGAAGGATAGGTTTATTTATCCTTGTTTTGCAGATGTGAAAAGGTGCCCCTTAGCTAGCTTTCTAGGTCATAAAGCTAGTTCTTGACTAAGTCAACATTAAAATTCAAATCATAAGAGTTTAGATTCCTAAACTGGAAAGCTTTTCATGATATCTTAAATCTTCATTGATCTCAGATTTCTGGGTTTCCAGAAACATTCACAGAGTTCATAG